AAAAACGCTTAATAACAATCAGCCAATCAACAAACCTATCTGGCAGCACGTGACCAAGCCTGTAACCATGACAACCAGGCATATAAGTGACGCAATCAAGCGTTTGTTAGTATCCATCTTGCTTATTATTAGGATTATTATTATTATTATTGTTATTATTGTTGTTGTTGATGTTGCTGTTGTTGTTGTTATATTATTATTATTATTGATGTTGAAATCGCTTCCGACTAAAGTTATTTTTTAAAACAGGCTGCAATTGAATAAGTGCAAATGCAATAATTTTTGGATGAATGGATGAATAAATACGGGAATGAATGAATTGATGAATGAATGGATAAATAAATGCGTGACGAATGAATTGATGAATGAATGAGTGAATGAATAAATGAATGAATTAATGAAAGAACGAAGAAATGTTGCGAAGAAATTAAACGATAGACAGAAGTCTGAAGAAACATATAGTTTCCAAAAAATAAAAATTTAAATGAATGAATAGTCGAACGAACGAACGAACCAACGGACAAACGGACAATTAAACAAACAAACCAACATAAATTCACAGTTGGATCAATGGATGAACGGATCGTAGCAATGAAAGACATAAAATGACTCGCGGCGGAAAAAATCTTTCCATATATAAGCCAAACGTTCTACGTCATACAAACAAACATACATGTATGTATGTATGTATGTATGATGATGCTAGTTGTGATGATGATGAGGAACATATATACATACATACATACATACATACATACATACATACATACATACATACATACATACATACATACATACATACATACATACATACACAAAAACAAACAAGCAAACCTACCTATATTATATATTTTTATATATAATACGCAAAGCCAAAGGTATTACGTATAAAGGAAGAGCATATTTAAACTACATCCCTAGCGATGTATGTATGTATGTAAGTATGTATGTATGTATGTATGTATGTTAAAACCAAAACATGATGAGTGACACTGAACCGTCAAACATCAAGTAACAAATGGATTAACACTTTGACTTGTCGTTAATTGCACATGTCGGCATTCAGTTGGATATTTTCAAGCACACAGACACGCAGGAACCGCTGCAACAAGCACGAAATGTGGTTAGTTGCGAAAAACAGTTCTCTGCTGTCGCCTGATCTGACGCTGATCATTTTACATACTGCCTTAAGAAATTTAAGGGTGTTGGGGTCCATCGGGCCGAGAACCTCGATACATATTGGCAAGAATTCCATCGAGGGGAGGGCGTTCCCATACTTTTTCATTTTCTCGTCCGCTGCCCTGGCCGCGGCCAAACCGCATTCTTTACTTGTCAGGTTTACGTATCGTTTGGCGAGGGTGCAAGGGACCGTAACATCCCACGCCAAACATCTGCCGGCTCTCCAAGGTATTAGTGTGCATCCGTCCGGGCGCTTACCATCATGCGCAGAAATGCCGGATGGTTCCTTGAGAACCGGGATTGAAGCCTTGGAGAAGAGCTGACAAATGTATTCGTTTAGCGCTGAGTGACGTAGTTGACGGCCCCCACCCAGGCGACAAACCAAACCATGGTGCCCAAACTCGTCCGCCCCTGCGCCACATCGGCACGTGTATTTATTCTGAATGACCAGGCCAAGTCTGAAGCCAATGGCAAATCTCACAGACTCGTCGTCAAGCCTGGTGCCCACAGAGATGTTGGGCCACGATCTGAACCACCCACAGACCTGGACATGGCCAACAAACGAGCGGTGGAAAAGTCGTCGCCGCATGAAGACAACAAATTTTGAAAGATTTTTTTATATTCTTCGTTCAAAATTTGGACGTGCGTACGGTCTCCCGGGGCGGACACTGGGGGAAGAATATCGCAGCAACGAAAAAATCGGTGGAGCAGGGAAGACTGCAGGTCGAGAGTGGCAGCGGCAGAAGAATTATAAACAACGGGAGCCAGCTGAACCACGCTAAGCAACCCCAGCCCACCAAATCGCACCGGCAGCTGAGCCTGGGACCAACCACTGTCGGTCACTTGAACATTGCAAATCGACGACAGGGCGGTGTATGTATGTATGTATGTATGTATGTATGTATGTATGTATGTATGTATATATGTATGTATGTATGTATGTATGTATGTATGTATGTATGTATGTATGTATGTATGTATGTATGTATGTATGTATGTATGTATGTATGTATGTATGTATGTATGTATGATGCTAGTTGTGATAATGATGAGGAAGATGAAGATGATGGTGATGGGGGGCTTAATTGCGTCACAAAATCGTCACAGCCATTCATGCGTCACAGCAATCTAAATTAAATGGCTACGAAGAGGCTGACGATGACGACGACGATGATGGTGATGATGATGATGACGATGATGATAATGATTACGTTTTAACTGATTATTATTGCTAATTAATGAAATATACATATATATCTGTGTATGTATGCTTGTCTGTATGTACATAAATATCCCATTCAAATCCATATAGTTATTTACATCACATTAATTAATAATTAATTAATACTTAATTAACACTTAATTAATTAGTACATGTTTTTGTATGTACGTTTATAGATATTTAATTCAAACTGAAAACATCAAATGGTATGGTGGTTGTCGCAATTGAAGTGAACGGTACGAACCAGCATGTGGAGTGAATACTCGTTAAAACTACAATTTTGTCACTTCCTTGCCTGGCCCAATCAATCCATCCTATCAATTTTTCGAGGCAATTTTCATTCATAAATAACATCGAAATAGTATTTGGGATTGGTTTAATATCCGAAAAATATTCGGATTGGTTTAATATCCGAAAAATATTCGGATTGGTTTAATATCCAAAAAATATTCGGATTGGTTTAATATCCGAAAAATATTTGTTCATATAGCCGTCAGAGTTCGGAGGCATTTCGATCATTAACAGCAGTTTTATTTTTTTCTCTAAAATTTATTCTCGTGATGGTGACGATGATGACGTCACGACGATGATGACGTCACGACGATGATGACGTCACGATGATGGTAACGATAACCATTAAGGACCATTCTATGTCCCGCTTCTGAGGGGAACTTTATCAGGCCATATACAGATGAACTCTGACCTCGTCTTGAAAAAGTCTTTATAGCCCTTCTTTGTTAGAAACTTAACGTTCGTTTTTTCGCATGTACGCAAGTGTGTGTGTGTGTTTGTGTGTGTGTATGTGTGTGTTTGTGTGTGTGTATGAGTGTGTTTGTGTGTGTGTATGTGTGTGTTTGTGTGTGTATGTGTGTGTGTATGTCTATATGTATTACTATTATACCACTCTACTAATGCAATCATTTATTTCACTTATCTATTACACTGTTTAACTGTCGCCACTGCTACTACTACATTGTTATTATTATTATTATTTATTATTATTTATTATTTATTATTATTATTCTTTTCTTATTTAAAGAAATAACAATGGCCGGAAGTAAACAAAAAAATAAAATAAGTGAGAGGAAACATTTATTTACGTTACAAAAGATAATAAAAAAAAGACTTTCATTTAATGAAATAAAGTTTGAAAATTTGAAAAGTTTGACGACGACGATGACGACGATGATGATGACGATGATGATGATGATGACGAAGACGACGACGATGATGATAATGATGATGATGACGACGATGATGATGATGATAATGATGATGATTAGATCGGTGATGATGACGATGACGTCATTTTAACGGTTGAATGTTAAACATATAAAATGATAAAATTTTTAGTCTTTGGACGGGAGATCTTATAGAAAATAGAGCTGATGAATCCGAGGTTGTTGATGTTTTTGTTGTTGTTGATGTTGTTGTTGATGTTGTTGTTGATGTTGTTGTTGATGTTGCCGCTGCTGATGTTGTTGTTGTTGTTGTTGTTGTTGATATAAACATTGTTTCTGGTGCAAATGTTGTTGTGGTAGTAGTAGTAAATGTTGATGTTTTTGTGGTTTTAGTTGTTGTTGTTGTTGATGTTGTTGTTGTTGATGTTGTTGTTGATGATGTTGTTGTTGCTGTTGTTTTGTCGGGAGGACATCACAAATTTTTGTATATATATGTTTATCACTGTTTTGTTTTTTAGGTCGTTGCTTATTTGGTTTTTGTTGTTGTTGATGTTGTTGTTGCAGATTTTGTTGTTGTTGATGTTGTTGTTGTTTAAGTAATTGCTGATGCTGCTGCTGTTGTTGTTTTTGTTCTTCTAACTTTTTTTCATCGCCAACCAAAAGCTTTTGACAAGGTACTAAAAATATATTTTGTAAACGCTGTTTTATCAGCCTAATCTAATTTATGTTAATTTATTCAAATGTAGCCGACCAATCACAAACCAGTAAAAATTGAATTGCAAACCTACTCATCTTATGATAATTAATTATTTAATTTATATTAATTTATTCAAACCGGTCAGCCAATGACCTTGCACGATCGAATGGAAGACGTTATTTAACTGGCTGTCGAGGTTTTTCAAGTCTGTCACCCTTCGTTATAATAAAAATAAACATAATAATAATAATAATTATTGTTATTATTATGCATAATTATTATTATTATTATTATTATGATTTTGTTGTTGTTAGAAAAAAAAATTTTTTTTTCACTTTGCAACGTGGCAGTTTGTGTAGAAGGATTCTGAAATATGAATAGGTATTATTATTATTATTATTTTAATCATTATTATTATTGTTAGTATTATTATTATTAGTAGTAGTAGTAGTGGTGGTGGTGGTGGTGGTAGTAGTAGTAGTAGTAGTGGTAGTGGTAGTAGTAGTAGTAGTAGTAGCAGTAGTAAGTGCAATTTTTGGATTATATAATATACACGATACGTATATGTAGCGATATGTATGCAAGTATGAATGTATAGTTTGCAAAAGAACAATCATATCGATTCACTTTTCACCCGGGCAGTACCATCTTGACATTTATGATCTTTCATTTTCAGTTTCCATTTCCGGTACAAGATGGCGGAGGAGGCGGAGGTGGCGAGCACGAAGAAAACTGAGAAAGCGATAATCATCAGTAGTGGAAAGTTTAAAGAATAGTTGTTGTTGTTGCTGTCATTGTTGTGGTTGTTGTGGTTGTTGTTGATGTCATTGATGTGATTGTTATGAAAACTGTTAGCAGTTGTTGAGTTTGTTGCTGATTTCTGTTTCTGCTGCTGTTGTTGTTGTTGCTTGTTGCTCCATTTTGAATCTACTAAAATTGTGTTACTTATTAGGCAATTACTTCTGTTACTACTGCTACTACTACTATTACTACTACTACTACTACTACTACTATTACTACTACTACTTCCGGCGGCATCATTACTATCACCTGTGGCATGATTACACGACCTTA